TTTATCACCGGGTTTTTGTCGTATTTACTGGTGGGAGTACTTTTAGAACATGATCACTGCTGTAACTCATGATTTAGAACATGATATTCTTTACAGTTTTGATTGGGAAGTTCAACGAACTGCGTTATAGAAGAGTATATTTGCTAAGTAAAGAAAAAGGGTTTTTTAATTTAGGCAAACATTGATTGCAATTTGTCATGTATATCATGGCAACATACCCTAAAGTTTGAAAAATTACATTTTAGAACATGTTCTTGGTCCCATAATTTATGTTTGCAGCGATGCAAAAAAGAGACAGCTGTTACAAAAAGTCAAAGACAGTGACAGCTGTTTCAAAAAGTCTCAGACTTGATGTCTTATATGTAATGAAGATATTTGGGAAAACAGGTATTATCTTACCATGGAAACATCAAATGTTGTAATTAACCAAATAATAGAGAAAGATCCCTGTAACATATACAAATGAAGAAAAATGATATTTTTATTGGTTTGCAATGGTTGCTATGACAGAAATATCAAAAAGTTATTTTCTTGTTTCTTTTTTTTTAACAGAGATCACAAACTGAAATGCAATTTATAAGGGCATTGGTGTGGTCTTCATTTCCACATTTTAAAAGATTTAAACTTTTTGTAAAAATAGAGCATTGCTATGGAAATTTCAATAAAAATTGTATTACAAACTCTAAAAAGTGTATTCAGTTTCCTTGATATTTACTTTATATGTAAATCCCCAAAACTCTTTTTACCTGATATATATATGTATATATATATATATATATATATATATAAAATAAATACCCTGACTTTCAGTTATGATCACCATACAATCTCCTACTGGGTGAGTGAAGCTTACAAATAAGGTTTAATATCGTTACGAAATTAGAAAAATACGACATTTTTCCTTCTTTGTAATTAAAGCAAAAATATTCTTTTCTTCACCAAACTGGATCCATATATTATTAAACTTTAATTCTATTAAAGCAAAACAATGTTAGATGACTAGGATAGATTTTTTTCATGAGAATGTAACTAAAATTGATAAAAAAGAAAAAATAATAATTATTTTAACCACTACTTGTTACCCCAATGGTTACATGTACCATAACGTAGAAATAACTTCGTTTTCTTTTTGCTTTTGGTGATACATAGTTTTAAAGATATATATTTGGTACTTTCGATTCTCCAATCTTTCAACGAGATGGAAATATTAATCAAAACTTAGCCACAAATTGCGTTGTTATACTGTGTTACCATGGCAACAATTATATTCATTATTAAAATAATATTTCTAAAACGTGTTTTCATTAGGCAAACTATTTTTATGGTTTCATGACCATTGGCGAGCTTGGTCATGTAACTCCTATTTTTCAGAATATAAAATGTATGCCAAATATAACATGGTAACCACCTTATTAGAGATATATTCCATCGATTTTTTTTTTTTAATATTTTTGTGTAAGTAGTCAATTTTTTGTTTTAGTCATTGTTTATCCACCCCCCAATATTCAAAGTAGCTGAAAAAAATCGATTTTTGAAATTTTCCTTCTGTTACAGCTACATGTAGGACACATAACTAAATTTTGATTGATTTTTGTTTCTGATGCCAAACTATGATAATGAGCAAAATTTCATCGAAATCAGTGACCATGCGTGCCAAAAAAGTTTCATGACAAGGAGCACACGGCGAGTGGGACTGGTCGACAGGAGATGCTTACTCCTCCATGGCATCTGATCCAAACTCTGATGCTTTTGGAGGTCCGTGTTTGCTCTGCTCCCGATTTGTATTATTTCAATGGACTTTTGAGCTTGACTTATGTTCGTTATCTCTATATTTCATTCATATAAATAGATATATCTTATTATTGGGCCAGTGTACATCAGCTAAATTAGTATATACGACATCATCATTATAAATGAGTAAGACTTTATGAACAAACATTGGAGAAGAAGCATAGCCAATTATCAACTGAATACTTTGACATAATGCCTCCAAATGCCTGATTTCACATTAGTAGAAATTTAACACGCTTTTTTTAAAAAAAAAAAAAAGGGGGGGTTATTATTTTTTAAGCCAAAAATCTCAAATTTGATAAAAGTCTTGAAAAAATTAAGCCTTTGGTGTATCCTTAAATTTAGCCGTTAGAAAATTATTACATGTTTGTCTCTCCAAACGGAAGGAGACGTTAGTTTTGTCATTTTTGTCTCTCTTTCACAAAATAATGTCTTGACTCGAGAAATCTTGATTTGAATGGAATCAAACTTAAATGCTTATGAGTCAAGATTAAGCTGCAAGGTCAATGGACAATGTAATAATGAAATAGTGTCTTGACTCTGAATTGTATCCAACCTTAGGAATGTTGCTGCACAGGAGTGCAGAGAACCTGACTCCATACTATATCGGTGACTTTTCAATTATAAATTAAAATAACTTTTTCTTTATTGGGATGAATACTATCTTGTGTAACTATGTTGATACTGATCATCTACAGGTGTGTCATGAACTTGATTTATGTTCAAACTTCAAAGGTCGTGTCAATAATGTTGCATATTGATGGGTAGGTGTATCATTAAACATTTGGGAAATTTCCTTTGTTTTTCAAATAAAAACACCTAGTTAATGTTTCCTATTGTAATGACATATACTCATTTGGCGAAGCCTATAATTGTAAATTGCAATGATGTTAATTTCTCCTATTCTTAATATATTATTTTAATTGTAAATCAGGATTGACGGAACTCTGCATCACAGGTAAAACTTCCTAAAAAATCAGAAAAATACTGAAAAAAACAGTACCAAAATCTTCTCTTTGCTTACATCTATAAAGTAGACATGAGTATTCATTTTTGTACGAAAGGTCATCCAAAAACTTGTAATCACACAAGTGTTAGTTTAAATATTTCCTTATTCAGAGTATGCAGACATCCAACAGACAAACTTCCTGTTTCAAACAACTACGTATTAAAGAAAACATTGACGTGCTTTATTTACCGGATTCTTGACTGAAAAGCGTGTTGCTTAAATGGTAAGAAGTTCTTTTAGTATCTTGTAGCAATTTCTCGTACTGAAAATGCTCTGATTTATTGAATTAATCCAGTCTATTGAAACATCTGTGTAATTTCTTCTAATTTACAATTTGTCTGCTCTTATAAGAATGCGAAAATCTAACAATCTTGGATTCATAAAAAGAACAAGCATTCTGAAAGTATTGCATTAGCAATACTAGTCCCCTACCGGCAAGTGTAATCTGGTTCCCGTTAAGAATTGAAAATGCCATAATTCCGTCAAAAATCAATGAAGCGGAACGAAATGCAAACTTGATCTGTAACTCATCAAGATACACTCACATACCAAAAATCAGCTCAATAACTACAAGCGTTTAGGAAAAAAGTGCGGAAAACCAAGTGGGACAGACTGACAGAAGGACAGACAGACAGACAGACGGACAGACTCAGAGGAAACCTATAGTCCCCTCCGGTTTCACCGGTAGGGGACTAATAAAGTGGATCTACCTAGTATTGACACCACCGATTGACATGTTTCCATAGTCATTCAATTGTTCCAGTCTCTTCACGTAGGGTTCTTGACAAAGCACTCATTTTTCATTTATTTTTTTTCAAATCTTTACAAGGAGTTGAAAAAGATCTGTACTGGTTTGTTGTTTAAAAAAGACAGATTTAAACGCTTGTAGATATTGAGCTGATTTTTGGTATGTGGCTTTACCTTGATTAGTTATAGATCAAGTTTGCATTTCGTCCCGCTTCATTAATTTTTGACGGAATTATGGCATTTTCAATTCTTAACGGGAACAAGATTACACTTGCCGGTAGGGGACTAGTACACAGGCACTTGGGGTCTGGACCCCCCCCCCCTTTTCCATTTTTTTTTCTTTTTAAATATGGGGTCAAGTCACCTTTTTCCTATTTTTGTATTCTAATATGCACTATATGTTATCAGTAATGTAACTCTTTTGTCTCTATATGCTGTTTTTAAATATACCGTTTTCGACTGATACATAAAAAGAGAGAAGGCTTGCAACTCTTTTCTCGTCGTCTGCCTCACCTCGCTTAAGCTTCGCCTGATTATTTATCTAAAGCATAAGAACACATGGAATATGCATACATCAATAAATTTGTTACACATTCTTCTTCCTTTTCATATTTCCATTTAATTTTTATGTGCCCCCGATTTGTAAATATTTCGATTAAATCAACCGCATCTAGGGTAAATTTTGTTGATGTGCACTAGCTGGGACGGAAGTGTCCGGTATTTTCGGGCGTCATCATTAAGTGTAATGTCATTCGGAACTTTAAATGAAAGAGGGAAAAATATCCCGAATTTTCTCTTCATAATATATGTAACGGTAAGTTTTGTGTATAAGATAACTCCAACTAGCAGATTCTAATGGATGAAGATCAACATTCAACATACGACTTAGACAACCAAATTTCTCAATATTTTTATTTCAAAGCTTGGAATTTTTTATTTAATACAGAACATTTGTAAAATTAGAGTTACCGTTATTGCACTTCCGTCCCAGCTAGTGCACATCAACAAAATTTACCCTAGATGCGGTAGATTTAATCGAAATATTTACAAATCGGGGGCACATAAAAATTAAATGGAAATATGAAAAGGAAGAAGAATGTGTAACAAATTTATTGATGTATGCATATTCCATGTGTTCTTATGCTTTAGATAAATAATCAGGCGAAGTTTAAGCGAGGTGAGGCAGACGACGAGAAAAGAGTTGCAAGCCTTCTCTCTTTTTATGTATCAGTCAAAAACGGTATATTTAAAAACAGCATATAGAGACAAAAGAGTTACATTACTGATAACATATAGTGCATATTAGAATACAAAAATAGGAAAAAGGTGACTTGACCCCATATTTAAAAAGAAAAAAAAATGGAAAAGGGGGGGGGGAGGGTCCAGACCCCAAGTGCCTGTGGACTAGTATTGCTAATGCAATACTCTCAGAATGCTTGTTATAACGTATCATTTTCTTTCAGCAGAGGATGGCTACCGTTTGCAAGGCTCAAGATGTAGTGAGATGTTGCATGTGTTATAGCAATGGAGAATTCCGTTGTCATTCCTGTTCCGTCAATCTTTGTGAGTCCTGTGTGGGAAAACATATGTCCAGTACAATGAATAAGCTTCATGATGTGACATCTTTGATCTTTAAGAAGGACAATCAGCCAAAGTTTCCAATGTGTTCTGTTCTTGGACATCAGAAATGTGAGATGTTCTGCTCAACCTGTGACATGGCAGTTTGCAGCAAATGTATCACATCTGGTAACCACAAGTCACATGATGTAAAAGACGTTTTAGAATGTTTAACTGAAAGAAAGTTTATGATCGAAAGAGCAAAATATGATGTTACAAACTCATTCATTCCAATGTTTGAAAGAATGAAGGGTCGTGTTGACGAAAAGTTAAATTGTCTTGGTGAAGAATTTGATAATATTGAGGAAAATATATATGAAAATGGGCACAAGTGGCATAAACTTGTTGATAGTGTTGTGGAAGACAATATTGATGATGCAAGAAAAATGAAACGGTTCATGCAGAAAGGTCTAATGAGTAAACAACTTGATCTTCAGAAAGCGGTTGAAAATTTGAAAGAGTTTCTCAAAGGAATAACGGAAGCATTGGACTCGGCTGATGCACTTAAAGTCATTCATTTCAATGTCGATATTCAGCATCTACTTGAAAATGTATCAAAAATCCAAATTAGGAAACCTCTTTATTCTGGAAAAATAATTTCAGAGGACGAGCTCAAACAGAATTTTGGCGCTGTGTCCTCTCCCATACAAACAACTTTTGAATTTTCTGTAAGGTGCGCTGGCCCAGAGACACGTCGTTCAAAGTCTTTCTGCGACAGTAAAGACGATGTTACATCATCACACAAGAGAAGGCAGGCGGAGAATGAACGTGGTAACTAAATTTTCAGTAAAATTTTACCCAGTGCAGCAAAAATATCTCTTTATACAATTAAAACTTTTTTTCTCTCATCTTTTCGGGATGTTGCCTATTCTGTTTCTTATTATTACTGAGGCACAGTTTAAAACTAATTGAATACGTAGGAAATTAACAAAAGAAATAAACATATATGGAAGAGATCCAGATATATAACATACCCCGGCCATGACTTATTGAGTTCGGTCATTTATACTTATATATACGTATGTGGTGTTTCTTAACTGTAGTATGTACCCCATACCTTTCAAGAGATCAAAGTTCTATCCTCAGCAATCTCTGATTGAAGATTTTTTTTTATTTTCATGTAAGAATCATTTGAGTCTGTAAGACCCGAAAGGGTGCAAGGAAAAAATAAGGCACTTACAGGGAGCTGCAAGCTGGGAATACGATCGAGATTGTCAGACTCTAATCTGTACAATAAAAACAGAAAACAAGTCCAAGCAGAAAACAGATTTTCAATGTGTGAATTAAGGTACATTTTCTTATAACTAAATATTGGATTTGGTTTGTTCAGTATATATATATATATATATATATATATATATATATATATATATATATATATATATATATATATATATATATATATATATCAGAACAAAGTCAATCAGAAACTTAATCTGGCAATCGTTCGAAAAATTTTTCAATGTTTGTGTAAATATAAATTCAAAAGTTTATTTATTTATTTCTTTTTTTTTAAATTCAAACTTATACGACATTAAAGTCTATCCTTGTGGTTATCTAAGGAAATTGCAGATATTTTCTAATAGAGATGTCTTTTACAGGCATTGTCTGCTGCCTAATCTAATTAAAATTTATTCAAATCAATAAATTTTTTATATCCCCCAATGTCTTTTGATGCAATATTTGTACATTGACTTGTTTTGATTGAAGTAAGAATGTCTTTATTTTATTTATTATATTTTTTGAATCTCTAAATTATTTTGAAATTGAACAGTATCTTTATTCTATACACTTATTAATTTTACTAAAATTAAAGCAATAATTATTCAGAAAACCTGAATGGAGTAGGCAATGGCCAATAACTATAAATACCCCCTCCAACTTTGACTATTACAGCTTATAAAAAATGGTACTAGACTAGAACCAAAACATTCGATATATCTATTGTATGATTTCTTGTTTAGTGTTACATTGAAATCATGAAGCTGAATTACCTAGCAATCTATGATTTCAGTGATTCTACCTTTCACATCGAAGGAGGTAAACCACTTTTCCCGCTATCTCCGTCTATGATTCGTTTTGAGGATGTTGTAGAATTTGACAGATACAATGGTCTTCGATGCAGTGGCATTGTCAAATATGTCGGGAGATTAAAAGATCGGGATGGTATCTACATTGGTGTAGAGCTTGACTCTGAAGGTAATTGCAAAATTTCACTCTAACGGAAATCGAAATGCGAATATGAACTACACATGTCAGAGAAAAATAACTGAAACATATAGATATTTTTTTTTGCAAGACATGCCCATTTAATATTCTTTTGATATTTGATTTCAATAAAGTAAAGCATTAGTCACCGAGAAATCCCACTTACCCTTTTAAACCCGAAATTCCTTTAAATGTATGTAAACTACGACAGAGCTTCTGTGACGGTACAATTTGTCGTTTTGTACATATTGTCGTCGGCGACAATATGTATCTACCCTCACTGCACATATTGTCGTCCATCTGTACATATGTTCAAAAAATGTCACTAGATTGTAAAACAGTATGTGAATTGTTCAACGTTGTGTGTGTCTCGAAAATGAACTATGGGGCAGAAGTGTGAGGCTCTATACCGGCAAAAGAAATGGAACGAATACACTTAAAATTTGGTAAAAGACTACTGGGAGTTAAAACCTCAATATGTACCCCGGCTGTTTATGGGGAATTAGGAAGAAAACCGTTGATAGTAACGAGAACATTTCGCATTATTAAATATTGGTTTAAAGTCCTTCGATCAGAAAATTGTCTTATAAGGTCAATTTATAATTATGATTTTAAGAATATGTCTACAAATTGGATCATTTTTGTCAAACAGACACTTTTATCACATGGTTTTGGCGATGTATGGTATTTTCCCGAGTCAGTAAATGAAAAGGTATTTTATGTTTATTTTGAACAAAGGCAGGCTGATTGTTTTTTTCAAAAACTAAAAGTAGAGATAGAAAATGCCCATCCTTTAAGATTGTTTAAATATCTAAACCCGACTATGCACCAGGCTGAATATCTCAATTGTATATATTATGAAAAACATAGAAAAGCATTAAGTAGACTCAGATTATCTTCACATTGTTTACGTATTGAGTCTGGTAGATATGAGCAAAAATGTCTTATAAGTGAACGAAAATGTGTATTTTGTACATCTAACGAAATAGAAGACGAATATCATTTTGTTTTAATATGCAAGTTTTATGTTGAGTTAAGAGAAAAATATATTAAAAAATATTTTTACGCAAGACCTAGTATGGTAAAATTAATTGAATTACTTAATTCCGACTCAGAAAATGTACTTAAAAAACTTGGGAAATACGTGTTTGAATGTTTTAAAAAGAGGGAAAACTTTACTCTAAAGCAAGATTAATAATAGGAGATACTGCTGTATAGTTGTTCTTTCATATATGTATATTTCAAGTTATGTTATAAAGCACCTGTGTAACACCTGTTGACCAATGTTTATATTATAAAACTAATGTTATACTTCTGTGGCAATATATGTAATGTATATGCCAATAAAGATACTACTACTACATATTGTCGCCGACTGAAAAGTTACATATGTGCATATTGTCGCTGGCGACATTATGTGCCTCACCCTCACTGTACATATTGTCGCCCCACGGATATTGTTGTTCAAAGGTGTTTTTTGCAGTTTTTTTTTTTTTGGTAGTTTTGTGAATGTAATTGGTGTGAGAATCACACTGACGTGTCTTGTATGCTATTTCTTGCAGCGTGATTGTGACGGTACATTTTGTCGTCCTGTTCATATTGTCGCCGGCGACAATGTGTATCTTCCCTCACTGCGCATATTGTCGTCCATCAGTGTTATTGTATATGTTAAGTTAATTATTTAATTATGAAATTTTACCCGTGGACTAAGTATAAACAAGTTAAACAAACAGAATTTACCAAAGCACAAAAGAAAGAAAATCAAACCACCAAACAAGGGGGGGAGGGGGCTACATCTGTCTGGGTGTTTGAGAAGATTTTTAAAGATTTTTTGTATATATTCCTA